GATGGATAGATGATAGATAGATAGATAGATAGATAGATAGATAGATAGATAGATGATAGATAGATAGATAGATAGATAGATAGATAGATAGATAGGTGGGTGGGTGGGTGGGTAGGTGGGTAGATGGATGGATGGATGGATAGGTGGGGGTGGGTAGGTAGGTAGGTAGGTAGATAGATGGATGGATGGATGGATGGATGGATAGATGGATAAATAGATGGATGGATGGGTGGGTGGGTGGGTGGAAGAATGAATAGATAGGTGTGAGTGTGTGTGTGTGTGTGTGTGTGTGAGAGAGAGAGAGAGAGAGAGAGAGAGAGAGAGAGAGAGATGATGGATGGATAGACAGAGACAGAGATAGATATGGACGGACACCCAGATAAATAAATAAATTCAAGCCATCCCCAACCCAGAGTGGCCCTCCAGGTTGCCTTACTGGACCGTGGTTTCCAGACGCCTTCTTAACCACTGGAGCCAGCTTGGCAATCGGGGCAGGGAGTTTTGCCCGCACGGCCCCCCCTGCTGAGTTCTGAGTCCCAGGCGGGTCAAAGATGGGCCCCAGCAATTTCTGGAGATCCGGGCTGCAGAAGCGTTTGGGATCCAGCTGCAATTCCTCCTCGCTGATGTTGGCTGGGCGCAGGAAGGCCAGGATTTTGGGACCACGAAGCTCTGGAGAGTGAAAGCACTGAGTTAGGGGAGGGGGGAGCCGGGATCTCCTCCCCAGCCTTGCCCACCACCCTCTTTCCTCACCAAAGCTGAGGTTGATGATGGTGTCTCCTCCGTTGGGGTCCATCTCATCCAAGGCGCTCTCGGAGTCCAGCCCTTCGAGGCAGGGCGGGGGCAGCCGGCGATGCTCCCCTTGGCGGTCCGTTTGCTCCAGGGACAGCACCAGGCCATTCTCTTCCACCTGACTAGGGAAAGAGAGGGGGGCAACCTGGAACCCTTCAAGGTAGGCCAGGTTGGAAAACAGACGCGCCAAGTTGGATGGAGGTAGTTTCTCCAAAGCCATCTCCGTGGCTCTCAACAGCATGTTGTTCAAACGTGGCAACTTTCAGACAGGCGGACTTCAACTCCCAGAATTCTCCAGCCAGCAGTGCTGGCTGGAGAATTCTGGGAGTTGAAGTCCGCCTGTCTGAAAGTTCGAAGCTTAGAAAACTCTATGGCATCTGAGTGCTGGGCAACCAGCACAATGTCGCCCTCTGCTGACAGTGGCTGGAAGGGCCACCTGGCTCTGCTGTCCCCCCCAGCCCCATTTAAGCACAGAGGAACATCTCACAATTATAATATTTAGCATGTTTTATGTTTCCTTTCATACAGGTAGTCCTCGACTTTCGACCGTTTGTTTAGTGACCGTTCAAAGCTACAAAGACACTGAAAAAAGCGACATAATCACTGCTGCTTCCCGCCATTGAAATTCGGATGCTTGAGCAACTGGGTCACATTTATGACGCTCGCCGCGTCCCGGGTTCACGTGATCCCCTTTCGCGACCTTCTGACCAGCAAAATCAGTGGGGGAAGCCAGAGTCACTTAACACTTGTGGCGATTCACTTAACAACGGTGGAAAGAGAGGTCGTACGGCGGGGCGAAACAAAAATGGAGAAATCCAGTGACATAATTCGCTTAACAACTGCAGGGCAACGATTGCAAGGCTGTAAAACCAGGTGCAACTTAACAACCGCCTTGCTTAGCGACGGGAATTGTGGTCGTTAAGCCGAGGACTACCCGTATTTCAAAAGACTCAGCGGTTATTTCCACCTCTGTTCTTCAAAGGCAGCCAAGCAGGCTTGGGGATTGGAAGGCAAGGAATCTGGGGGGGGGGGGTTGGGGACAGCCCCCATCTTGAAGTTTTTGACCTCCCCCGGACTGACCTCAAGACGAAATGCATGCAAACAATGCTCTCGGGTTGGGAGTTCTTGCTGCTGGAGATGACGGTGGCCTCGGTCTGGATCCAGATGTAGCCACCATTCCTGGCTAGGAAGCGGTACTGCCCGGTCACGGCTTGGCCCTTGCTTAGCACTACCAATAGGGAGTGAAAGACAGACAGTCTAGAACAGACAGACAAACGGATAAGCGGGGAAGAGACGGTAAGGCGGAACAGGACTCGCTTCGTGTTTGCTCTCAAGGGGAGGAGAAGACGACGTCCGGGCGGAAATCAAGCCCCTTCCTAGCACCCGAGTCCCCTTCCACACGACCCCTCCCAAGCCGCCGTTGTCCGGTATGCGGAGTGGACGGTCGCTCCCTCCCTTCCTAAACGATCGGACGATGCCTCCAATGGGGGCATCAAACTCCTCGTCCCTCCCTAGCAATATTCAGTTCTTTAGACTTGCATCTACAGGCAGTCCTCGACTTACGGCGACAATTGAGCCCAAAATTTCTGTTGCTAAGTGAGACCAGTGTCTCACTTGGGCGCGTGAACACGCACGCACCAGCCAGTCACTCACGCGGCCCGGTTGCAAATAGGCCACAGACCAGGAGTGGGCCACAGCCCACAGGTTGGGGATCCCTCCCTCGGTGCTCTGTCAAGTCTGCCTTTTCCTGCTCTTCTCCCTTTTGTTTCTGCGGCAGGGAGGGGCTCCTTCCAAGCGGGGCCAAAACTCGGGAAGAACCGGCCAGGCCTGTGCCATGCTGAACTTACGGGTGTTGATGCTCTTGCTGACGGAATCCGAATCCAAGGCGTGGATGTACTCGTAGAGGGAGCAGCCGAGCAAGCTTTCGGAGGTGTAACCAGCCATCTCGACAATCCTGGCCCAGGAGAAATGGGATAACAATCAGGGAATATTCTGGCTGAGTGATTAATTTAGAAAAGAAGATTTATATTGATGTGGTTGTTACTTGTAGAAATACTAGAAGAATGTCCATATTCAATTGTTATCTGCTAAAATTACTAAGAAATGTACTAATTTAAGGTTAATAATAATAACAACAACAACAACAACAATAACAATAATAATAATAATAAAGTTGGAAGGGACCTTGGAGGTCATCTAGTCCAACTCCCTGCTCAGGCAGGAAACCCTACACCATTTCGGACAAATGGCTGTCCAGTCTCTTCTTAAAAACTTCCAGTGTTGGAGCATTCTGGAAGTTTTGAAGAAGAGACTGGACAGCCATTTGTCCGAAATGGTGTAGGGTTTCCTGCCTGAGCAGGGGGTTGGACTAGATGACCTCCAAGGTCCCTTCCAACTTTATTGGATAAAAGAGAATATTATTGGAAGAAGAGAAAATCAAGGTAAGTTGTTATGTGGAGTATGGAATGTTAGAAATTGTTATGGATTGTTTGTAAATATAAACCCAGACAACACGCTGTTTACCAAATCTTAATGATGATTATGTTAAAAAAAAATCAATAAAATATATTTTTTTAAAAAATTCTGGCTGAGTTAAGCTAGAGCAGGGGTATCCAACCCTGAAGTCCAAAACCTGTGGACTTCAACTCCCAGAATTCCCCAGCCAGTTTTCCCCGCTCACCTGTCGTCGCAGTAGGTAAACTTCATATCCATGGTGTGACGGCTGAGGAAGGTGCCGCTGTCCAGGGGGGTCTCAATGTTGGCGGGGTGCAGGATCGCCTCGCAGATGAGCACCAGGCAGCGCAACGGGGGCTCCGTAAAGCCGCCTTCCCCTTCTTTCCCCGCGGCCGGCTTGGAAGGCGCATAACAGCGCATGTGCCCAGAGCAGTGCAGCACCTGGAAGGGGAGAGGGAGGAAGCTGAAGGCAACCGATGGATGCAAGCCCCCCCCCACTTTTATTCTGGCCGGCCCCTTGTGGGGGATGCTGAGATGGGCCCACCTTCCCCAAAAGGTCGCCCAGTCGTTTTGTTATGCAATGGGCGGCAAGAAATAAACTGAATAAACAAAGAACGATACGTAATTTATTTATATTTTTATTTATATGTATTTAATAAGATTAAATATAAATTGGGCAATCGGATACAGCTGGACCTCGACCTATGACCCCAACTGAGCCCGATGTTTCTGTTGCTAAGCAAAATACTTGTTAAGTCAGTTTTGCCCCATTTTGTGACCTTCCTTGCAGCAGTTATTAAATGGATCGCCACTGCTGTTATGCGTGTAAGGCAGTCGTTAAGTGAACCTGGCTTCCCTCATTGACTTTGCTTGTCAGAAAGCCGCAAAAGAGGATCATGGGACCGCAGGACACGGCAACCCTCATAAATAAGAGTCAGTTGCCGAGCGTCTGAATGTTGATCGCGTGACCCTGGGGATGCTGCAACGGCCGTAAGTGTGAAAAATGGTGCTAGGTCGGGCACTGCCTGTAGCCTGCCCTGCTTCTGCAGCTGCCTGGGCCTTCCTGGGAACAGGATCGACCGGTTTCCCATCCCTGGATTCCCTGGTGCACCAGTGCTCCAGGATGCACCACCCAAATGGATGATCTCCGGACGGCTTCTCCATGTCTCATGTTTTGCAAAAGCCGAAAGGACGCCCACTAAGCATCTCCTGGGCCAGGGGTAGGCCACCTTGGCTCTTTTATGACTGGTGGACTTCAACTCCCAGAATTCCTGAGCCAGCATGGCTCAGCATGGAAACCTCTCCCTTTCCCCTCAGCACGGCTGGCTCAGGAATTCTGGGAGTTGAAGTCCATGAGTCATAAAAGAGCCACGGTTGCCTACCCCTGTACCTGGGGGAAGACGGGGTTAGCCGGCGTTCGCTCCTCACAGTTATCCCACCGAAAGTCAAAAGTGATTGAGAATGGCAGGCTTCTCGGATTTCATATTTATTTTATATTTATTCTATAACTAGCTGTACTTGGCCACGCGTTGCTGTGGCTCAGTCTGGTTAAATGGAAAAGAAAGAAAAGAGAAAGCGCACGTTTGTAATATGTTTAATTTCACAATGCTTGTGGGCATGCTTTTACGTCCAACAGATGGCGCTGTTTTTCAAAAAAAACCATGTTTTTACCTGTCACAGGTGTGACATCTATATAATAGTAGGTATATAAAAACACGCGCGTATTCGAATGCAACGTTGTGTCAAAATTTCAAAGCAATCGCTGAAGAACTTTCGGAGATTTAAGATTTTGAACAAACGAACATTGACATTTTTATTTATATAGATTTTATCAAGCACAGCCCCCACCCTCAAAAAGACCCCTTTTCCTGTTTCGAGGGAGGGGGGCGGTTCAAATCTGCTTGTTTCTAGGGTGGTCCCCTGCCCAAATCTTCTTCTGTTCCCCCCACCCCACGAAAAAAAAACCCCGGGGGGGGGAGTTGCTTACTTTCCAGGTGGCCGACTTGAGGTTGACGGTGCGCCCCCTGGTGGTGAGAGTGCTCTTCATGCGCAAGGAGAAATTGCGCTCCGTCTTCACTTCCCCCTTCTTGGAGAAACCTGGGGACAGCGGGGATCAAATGCTGGTCAGGATTTGGGGGTGCGTGGATGGACCCAACGGGGGCAGAGCGGGAAAGGGAGCGGGGACGGGACGCAGCCCAAAAGGTTTGGTCCCGGTTCCTGGCTTTGGGGAATCCGATGTCTGTGAGCAAAATGGGTATCTGGAGATTATCGAAGACTTAACTTCGTGTTTTATTTTGCTTTTTTGACATTTCTGCTTGTAAACAGGGCAAAATGCACGGTGGGGGGGAAATCACCAATCTGATTCAAGGAGGCTACAAAAGGGGGGGAGGAAGACAAGGGGGGAAAAGAAAAGGAGAAGGAAAAAAGGAGAAAAAGGAGAAGGAATGGAGGGAAGAAAGAAAGAAGGGAGGGAGGAAGGAAGGAGAAAAGGAGAAGGAAAGAAGAAAAGAAGGAAGGAAGGAAGGAAGGAAGGAAGGAAGGAAGGAAGGAAGGAAGGAAGGAAGGAAGGAAGGAAGGAAGGAAGGAAGGAAAGAAGGAAGGAAGGAAAGGAGGGAGGGAGGGAGGGAGGAAGGAAGGAAAGAAGGGAGGAAGGAGAAAAGGAGAAGGAAGGAAAGAAGGGAGGAAGGAAGAAAGGAAAAAGAGGAGGAAAAAAAGAAAAGAGAAAGGAGAAGAGGGAAGGAAGGAAGGAGAAAAGGAGAAGGAAGGAAGGAATGAAGAAAGAGGAGGAGAAGGAAAAAGGAAGAAAAGGAAAAGGAAAAAAGGAGAAAAGTTAGGAAGGATGGAAAAAGAGGAAGAAAAAGAAAGAGAAAAGGAGGAGGGAAGGAAGGAGGGAAGGAAGGAAAGAAGGAAGGAGGAGAAGGAGGAAGAGAAGAAAAAGGAAGAAGAAGAAGAGGAGGAGGAGAAGGAGCTGATGCTAGAGGACCTTAAGCAACCTACAATTTGAACACACCCGTGCAAGAGTTGCACAGTGCAGACCAGGCTGCCCAGGGGAGGAAAGGGCTGAAGGAAAGGGGACCTCGCTGCGATCCCCCATCCCTCCTCTGAACAGGGGGAGACTCACCCTGCCTGGGGCTCAGCACATCCTGCAGCTCCTCCTGATCACAGGGGTGGATGAAATCAAACACGCTGTGGCCAATCAGCTCCAACTGGCGGAAGGAAACGGGATAAAATAAAGTAAAATCAACCACAGAATGCAGGAGGGAGGGGAGAAGCCGGGAGAAAGGCTAGGCGCCCATCACATCTGCCAGGCGCCAACGGATGGGCGGGACTCCCCAGAGCCAGCCAATCAGAAAGCCCTCCTCCCCCCTCCCCTGCACAACATTCAGAACTTTTCAATCAGATTCCAGTCGGGGAAGAAATGTTTCCAAAGACATTTGGGCCCACCCCCGGGTGAGAATTTTTTTCTTCTTCTTTTTTCTCTCCTTTAGCTCAAATTTTTGCAAAAGATGACAAGGAGGCGGAGACTAAAAGCTTGCAAAAGTTTGCATGGAGGGGGGGGGCTCTTGTATAGGATGAATGACAGCATTATGGGCAACATTTTGCCCAAAGGCCCTTGTTCATTCAGCAAAATCAGGAATTATTATTATTATTATTATTATTATTATTATTATTATTATTATAGGAATGTGATTTCGTTTAAGAGGAAAGAAAAGTTAGAGAGAGGGAAAAAACAAACAAACAAAAAACCACCAGGGAATTTTGCAAAAAAAAAAAAAGACCAAGGCGTTTGAAGCAAGAACCGTTCCTTTGAAATAGATTTCAGCCAAAAAAAAGGGGGGATTCAATTCACTTCCAGCTTTGCTGGAATGTCTAAAATCGCCTTCTTAAAACTTATTTCCCAACCCGTTTCCGTCTCTCCGGAATCATCTAAAAAAATAAAATGGAAGCTAAACCCGAAGAACAAAAAGATCCATTCAAAAACCAGCCTGCGAGGGCGGGAGAGGAATTTTGAAGTTGACCCCTCTGAAATTTAAACAGAAAATGTCAGCAAAGACTGACAGAGATGCATTGTCCTCATTTTTTTTTTCCTCCCAAAAGGCTTCCAGGATCCAACATTCATGAGACTGGCTCGTTTTTATTTGCATTTATTTCTTTGTATCCCTCCCTTATTTATATTTACAAATTAACTCAAGAAGGTGAACGTATCCAACACACCTTCCTCCCCCTATTTTCCCCACAACGACAACCCTGTGAGGTGGGCGGGGCTGAGAGAGAATGACTGGCCCAAAGTCACCCAGTTGGCTTTCCTGGCTGAGGCGGGACTAGAACTCCCCGTCTCCTGGTGATTGGCCCAAAGTCACCCAGCTGGCTTTCATGGCTGAGGCGGGACTAGAACTCCCAGTCTCCTGGTGATTGGCCCAAAGTCACCTAGCTGGCTTTCATGGCTGAGGCGGGACTAGAACTCCCAGTCTCCTGGTGATTGGCCCAAAGTCACCCAGCTGGCTTTCATGGCTGAGGCGGGACTAGAACTCCCAGTCTCCTGGTGATTGGCCCAAAGTCACCCAGCTGGCTTTCATGGTTGAGGCGGGACTAGAAGTCCCAGGCTCCTGGTGATTGGCCCAAAGTCACCCAGCTGGCTTTCCTGGCTGAGGCGGGACTAGAACTCCCAGTCTCCTGGTGATTGGCTCAAAGTCTCCCAGCTGGCTTTCATGCCTAACGTGGGACTAGTCCTCATGAGCTCCCACTTTCTAGCCTGGTGCCTTAACCATTGATCAAACTGACTCATCTTGGGTTGAACGGCCCCTTCCCACCTGTGCGAGCTCCTCCTGCTCACCTGGCTGAGGCCCAGGTGCTTGTTGACATTCTCCGAGAGGTAGATCATGTCCCCTTCCTCAGTCAGGACCATCAGGAAGCCATCCAAGGCCTTCAGGTAGTAAGAGTCCACCTGCTCCTCCGCTTTGACTTGATCTCGCCATTCTCCTGGGTCAACAGAGGTTGTAAAAATTGCTTTCAGGCAGGGCTGGGGGACCGTGGCCCTTTCGTGACTCGTGGACTTCAACTCCCAGAATTCCCGGGAGTTTTGACACTCGGCCATCGGGCCACATTTATGACCGTCTGCCGCGTCCTGCAATTACAGGGCCATGTTTTACGACGGTTTTGCTGAAAAATGGCAGCAAAAAAAGAAAATGGCAGCGAGGGGTTGGACTAGAAGACCTCCAAGGTCCCTTCCAACTCTGCCATTCTGAGAACGGCTGTTTGGGGGGGTCTTCCGTAGTTTTCCTGTTCTCCTCCCTTCGATGAAGGCCTCCCCCAGGAAACGGGGCCCCCCTTACCAGAATTCAGCAGCTTATGCATCCTTAGGTAGCTGATGGTCAGCCGCATGATGGAGGCCTTGTCCAGGTGGGCACTCACCCCCCGAGCGAAGGGCAGGGTGTGGGCCAGCTGGTAGAACACCTCCGTCTCCTTGCTGCGTCGGCATCGCGCTGCGTCTCGGGACTTCTCCTTCCGGATTTCGGTGGTGGACCTGAGAGGTGGAAGTGAGAGGGTGGACCGGTGAGTGGGAACTTGCTGGGTAGGCAGATTAATGAGGGAAACACACCAATTAGAACTCAAGAGAGATCTGAGTTCAAATCTTCACTTAGGCAGGAAGTTCATTAGGTGACCAGGGGCTGGGTGAGAGGCAGTGTGGCCTAGTGGTTAAAGGGCTGGCCTAGAAACCAAAAGGCTCTGAGATCGAGTCCCGCCTTAGGCATGAAAGCCGGCAGGGTGACTTTGGGCCAAGCACCAGGTGGCGGTGAGTTCTAGTCCTGCCTTAGGCATGAAAGCCATCTGGGTGACCTTGGGCCAATCACCCGGAGACGGTGAGTTCTAGTCCTATCTTAGCCATGAAAGCCAGTTAGGTCTCTCTCTCTCTCTCTCTCTCTCTCTCTCTCTCTCTCTCTCTCTCTCTCTCTCCCCCTCTCTCTCTGAGCCTAGCCCACCTCACAGGGTTGTTGTGGGAAAAAACAAAAGGAGGAAGAAAGATGACGTGTGCTCGCTGACTTGAGTTGCTTATGAAGCAATAAAAGCCGGATAAAAATCAAATAAATAAATCAATAAATCATAAACAAATAAACAAATGGGCATTTCAAATTCTGGTTTTCTTTCTCCCCTACTCCAACCTCTGATCTCACAAGAAATACGAGAAAGCAGAGCAGGTTGCAAATATAAATCAACATTATCAAATTACCAGTCTTTTTCTAAAGTTCTCTTTCTAGAGTTTTGCTTCTAGCTCTAGAACTGTATATGAAACGGGCGATTAACAGGCCATTCACCCACATTCTTTTGTATACAATACACTTTTTAAAAAACAAAAAAATGGTGTTTTTCAAGCTTGGCCACTTTCAGATGGGTGGACTTCAACTCCCAGAATTCCCCAGCCAGGAAAGCTGGAGTTTGAAGAACACAAGCCTTCAAGTTGCCAAGTATGGAGAACCCTGGCTTAGAAGGGAAAAAAAATAAATTCAAATGCGGGGTTGTTGGGACAGGCTGGGGAATCCTGTTGAACCTCAGTGGCTGACCTTAGGACAGGGGTAGGCAACCTTGGCTCTTTTATGACTCGTGGACTTCAATTCCCAGAATTCCTGAGCCAGCTATGCTGGCTCAGGAATTCTGGGAGTTGAAGTCCACGAGTCATAAAAGAGCCAAGGTTGCCTACCCCTGTGACCTAGAGAAATACAGGTAGCCCTTGACTCAGACCACAATGGAGCTCAAAATTTCTTTTCTTTTTTTTAAAGTGAGACCCTTGTTATGTAAGTTTGGCCCCTTTTTACGACCTTTCTCGCCACGGTTGCAAAGCGAATCCCCGCAGTGGATAAGTTAGTAACCCAGTTTTTAAGTGAACTTGGCTTCCCCCACTGACTCTGCTCGTGAGAAGGTCACAAAAAGGGGATCCCGTGACCTTTTGGGATGCCGCGACGGTCGTAAGTATGAACCAGTGGCCGAGCGTCTGAATTCTGACCCCGTGATCATGGGGCTGCTACAAAGGTCCTAAGTGTGAAAAACGGTCCCAAGTCTCTGTTTTTTCAGGGCTGTGGTAACTTTGAACGGTCGCTAAATGAGCTGTTGTAAGACGAGGACTACGTGTAAACAAACACGCACGCCCGCCTCGGCCGAGCAACGTCACACAACCCCGGCTTGTTGCAAAACACACAGGAACCGAGACACGTGGGGCGCGATAGGATCAACCCTTCCCAAGCAGGACCTCTGGTGGGACTTTCCCCCAGCAAATCAAGCAACGGAGGCCCGTGAAGCAGAAGCAGGGACAGGCGAGGAAAAATAGAGGAGGGGGCACGCTACTACCTACATCCTCCCCCATTGAAAAACAGGAACTTTCCTCGACTTAATTGCGTCCTCGACAACATGACCCTGAGCACTCCGTTTCCTGAATTAAGGTTAAATTAAGCTTCCCCTCCCATCAAATCATCTCAAAAATCTAACATTTCTCCCGCTCCTGGACCTCAATCACCAGATCCTCCTCCTCCTCTTCCTCCTCCTCCTCCTCCGTCCTACTAACTTCTGGAACCCATATTTCTTTTTTTCTCAGCCCCACTGGGTTTTAGATAGCCCGTATTTCCGCTTTCTTGGGTTCCTCTTTCCCCTCAGATGTATCTTCTTGATGTTCCAACTTTTGGAAAGGTCTCCAAGTGTCCTGGATCCGCTCTCCTGAGCCACCCAGGTCTACTTGGACACCTCCCCAAAAAATGTCAGCAAAGAACCCTCTCAACCTTCACACATTCCAGAAATGAGCCGCCCGCCGTGGAAAGACTAAGGGCTCACCGCCACCGTTGGCTCCAGAGAGATCCCATCCAAGGAGACCTGGACCTCAAAGAACCTCAAAAGTCAAGGAGCCTCAGAACTTCACAAAGTTCTTTTTAGCTTCCCAGCATGCTTCTATACCCGAGGGGGTTAGGAATATTGGAGTCCCTTGTCTTGGAAATGCCTTGAGCAAGGTTCTAGGATCTTCTGGAGGTCCACCCAAGCTCACGTCTTCTTCTAAGACACTCAACCCAGCTGGGAAGCCCTGAAGACTTCTGCTGATGGGCCCAGAGGGATCCATCAAGAGATGGTACCTCCATACCGCCAGCCCAATACAAGGCGGGGAACATGGAGGCTTGCCATGTCCCAGAAGGCCCTGCCCCAAATGCCAGAGGCCCCTTACCTGCACCACCTCCTGCCCCTCGCCCGCTTCCAGCGCCACCACATAACCGATCTCTGTCTTCCCGGGCACAGCAAGCTGGACTTTGTATTTCCTGATCCTCCCACAGTTCTTTCTTTCCACCGCCCCTCCCTCTCCGGTTCTCTTCTGGGTACAGCCTGTTCCGTTTCTGTGCCCTGGCACTCTGCCCACCAACCTGCAGCTCTGTTTTGCGGAGAGCAGGAAACCGTGGGCCGTGTGGCCTAGTGGTTATCTCTTCCCTGCCTCCCAAGCAGTAAGGGTCAGCAAAGAGGCACGGCTGGTCGCCAGCCCAACCGTGGGGGTCATCAGACTGGCAGGGCTGGCCACAAACAGGGCTGGCCTCATGCCAGCCCCACGTGCCAACTTGCGAACAGGTGTGTGATAGATGGGAGCCGTAAACAGGCCCCAGGTGGCTACAGGCAGTCCTCAACCTACAACCTCAAGGCAGGCCCCAATTTTTCGTTGCGAAGCAAGACGGTTAAGTGAGTTTGCCCTATGTTACAACCTGTTTTGCCACAGCTCTTAAGTGAATCGCCGCAGTTGTTCAGTTGGTGACACGGTCGTTAAGTGGATCCGGCTCCCCCACGGACTCGGCTTGTCGGAAGGTCGCGAAAAGGGGATCACGTGATCCCAGGAGACCGCGACCGTCATAAATAGGGGTCAGTTGCCCAGAGTCCAAATTTTGATCACGCGACCGCGGGGGATGTCACAACGGTCGTAAGTGGGGAAAACGGTCCTAGGTCTCTTTTTTTCGGTGCTGCTGTAACTCTGAACGGTCACTAAATGAACGGTCGTATAAGTCGAGGACTTCCCGTGCCGGCTGGGCAAACTGAGGCGGCCAGTTTGAATGCTTATGCAGCCTGGCCCCCCCACAAAGCAGCAGAAAAGGAAATTTGGGGGAGAGGCACCCCCTTATCTTCCCCTCCCCATCCCTGCAGAATTTGTAATGAAAGGCGCTGACGCAGCTTAAGATTTATTTTGGAGAAAGGAGTTCCTAGAAGTGAAAACTTTGGCTCGGGGCAAGTTCCAAATAGGCACATATGTACAGGTGGTCCTCGACTTATAACATTTCGGTTAGTGACTGTTCCAAGTTACATCAGCACTGAACAATGGGACTCAGGACCGTTTTTCAAAGTTACGCCTTTTGTGGTATCCCTGCTATACAGGTGAGCAAAATTCAGGCACTTGGCAATTGACTCAGATTTATGACGGTCACAGCGTCCGAGGGGGGGTTACGTGATCCCATTTTGCGACCTTCTTGACGAGGAAAGTCAAGGGGGAAGCCGGGTTCCCTTAACAACTGCGGGTTGGACTAGATGTCCTCCAAGGTCCCTTCCAACATTATTATTATTATTATTATTATTATTATTATTATTATTATTATTATTATTATTGTTGTTGTTGTTGTTGTTGTTGTTGTTTGTTGTTGTTTTTGTTGTTGTTGTTGTTGTTGTTATTATTATTATTATTCCATTAAGCAATTGCAGTTATTCTTTTAAAAACCGTGGCTGTTTGAAGAAATCGGGAGCGACCATTGACTTCTGACTTATGGAGAGTCAATTGGGGACAATACAGGTAGTCCTCAACATATAACAATCCATTTAGTGACCGCTTGAAGTTACAACGGCCCTGAAAAAAAAGGGACTTAGGACCGTTTTTCACACTTACGACCATGGCAGCATCCCCCCCCGGGTCACCTGATCAAAATTCGGAGGCGTAGTCACTGACTCGTATTTACGACGGTCGCCGTCTCACCCGATCCACTTTCTGACCAGCAAAGTCAACGGGGAGAAGCCAGATTCACTTCACAACTGTGTCACCAAGTTAACAACTGCAGTTGATTCACATTAACAACCGTGGCAAGGAAACTGGAGCAAAACTCACTTCACAAATGAGTTCCCCTTAGCCACAGAAACTCTGGGCTCCGTGGCGGCCGAGGACCGCCTGTATATCAACGCGCGCTTGGGAATGCAGCATTCCTGGAACCTCAACTTTCATTTGCACCCACTCACGTTTCTAGTCCTTAAGGTTCTTTTTTTTTTTTTTTTAAATCTAGGCTGGAGAGACCGCGGGCAAGAACCCACATTACATTACCTGCCTGGGAAGCTGTTTACAAGTATTTTCTCCCCCCCCCCCTTTGTTCTAATTTTAGTTCTCCAAAGACAAAATCTCCTGAAGAGGAACAAAGCTGCAGTGGCAGAGAGCCACGGGGGACCGAGTGGCTGAGCGCACGATCGGAGCAGGGGAGGTGTCCGTCCCCTTTGCCGCTGGCTGCCACCCACCCCTTCTCCCCAGTGTTCGGGTGCCCTATGGTGGCGGATGAGGACCCTAACTTTTCCGGGGACATGTTCTGCACGCAACGAGGCATCCTTCGTCAGCAACTGGCGACGCAAAAGCTCACACACGCATCTTCAAAGCCTTCAGCTGAGATCAGGCACCTCTGACGTCAATGTGCTTCCTCCACTGAGGATATCTGAATTTCGCACACGCTGCGTGTTACCAACGGATGCCGGGGCACGCTGCTGCCCCCCCCATTAGCACAAAACCAAAAAGGGGTCTGGAGAGAGAGAGAGAGAGGAAGAGAGAGAAGGGGTGGGTGGGCAGAGAAAGCCCTGCTGGCATGCCAACAGCTCCCCCCCCCCGCTTGCCACTGCAGGCAGCCCCCTCCTCAATTGTTCCATCCAGATGGCTTCCTTCTTTCAATTAGGACAGTCGGCGAATGTTAAGATGTGATCTCCTGGGAGGCAAGGATAAATGGAGATTTCATATGAAAATAGTTCTTTGCGCAGCCTGCCAAAGCCGGAGGTTTTCCCGGTCCCCCAGCCCACATTTCCCTCTGGGGCAGGGGGCCCTGTCCTGGAAAACAGCCTGAGAGGGTCCACACGACACTCTTAACCTGGGTCAAGAAGGCACAGCAGTTGTCTTCCTGCAGCAAACTAAGCTCAGATAAATGGGCTTCTGCTTTCACGGTCAGTTTACACTCTTCTGGTGCGGGCTGGGGTCTTCCCACAACCCACTGCCCCACAAACACAGTGGGGGAAACCGGGTCAATGTTTTGTTCCGACGATACTGGGATTCCTTACGGCAGAAGGGTGACCAAGTCCTGTATATTTGGTAAATTAATCATTGAATTAGTAACCTCCCTGAGACATGGGCTGGGTGGACAAGCTCGGACTGGCCATCCCCCTGGATGGTTAGGAATATATCCAGATTCCCCATTAGACTGATTTTTAGGACTGGAGCGTCCCACGGGGCTGGCGTGTCCTGCCATCCTTGCTATTTATTTATTTCACTTTTATTTTAAATTGTCCGGATTTGAGAGCCCCACGGGGCTGGTGTATGCCGCCATCTTTGCTATTTATATATTGTAATATTTTTTTTTTAAGGATTGGAGCGTCCCAGAGGGCTGGTGCATCCTGATATCTGCGGTATTTATTTAATTCACTTTTATTTTAAATCGTCAGGATGCGAGCGTCCCAGAGGGCTGCCGAGACCTGCCACCCCTGCTAGTTATCGATTTCCATTTTCAATTTTTAAGGGCTGGAGCGCCCAGAGGGCTGGCGTGTCCTCTTGGCATCCTGCAGGGTGCCAAGGGATGCCACAGGCTGTGGATCAGCCAGCCCTCAGCCTTCGCACCCTGCCAGGAACAACCCCTGCCAAACCCCTGGCCAGCTTTGCCATCCCCCCAGTCCGCTTCGTGAGAGGGGAAGAAAAACTTTGTGCATGCTTAGAGGCACTCTCCCCACTGACAGAGGCTTTCTGCCCACAAATTGGAAGAAACGCTCCTCCCCTCCCCATACAACCCAAATCAAGCTCTGTCCGGGGAGGGGGGGTCCACACACTCCCCCTTTCTAAAATAGAGTCCCCACCCAAGCCGATGCTGGGTTTCGCTGAGCCTAAGCGCCCTGCAAAAAGGCTCACCGGCTCTGCGGCACCCGGCCCCTGAAGCCGTCCCCACCCACTCTGAGTGTGTGCGTCCGTCTCTCTGTGTGTGCCTGTGTGTGTGTGTGTGTCTGTGTGTCTGTGTGCATGTGTCATCTCTCGCCTCCCGCCCCCTCCAAAGCAGGAACCCTGCTGCACGTGCTCTTGGCAAAGCTTTTGGCTGTTCTGTCCACGTCAATGCAGGACAGAGTGTACTGGAAACAGGGACGGATGCCAACTGCTCGGTCGTGGGAGGAGAGACGAGGGAGGGGGGGCAGAATGGAAGGAAGGAGGCTGATGGATGGGGAGGAGAAGGAGGAGGAGGAGGAGAAGAGTTTCATTCATTGCAGAGAGAAAGAGAGAGAGAGAGAGAGAGAGTGAGTCAGTCTCTCTCTTTCTCTCGTACAATCCTTGGGCACCACTCCTGAAACGAACAGGGACAGGCTCTCCAGCTTGAGAAGGGGGTTGGACTAGATGACCTACCTACAAGGTCCCTTCCAACTTGGTTATTCCTTGGTGGGCGCTCTGGGAAGCCCCCCAGGGTCCCCCCTCCCGATGCACAGAGCGCCCCACCCTCAAATGAATCCTATTCAACCACACACAGATCAAACAAACGATCCCCCCAAAAATGATTTGCAACAAATTTTGCACCCTGCTTCGGGGCATCGGCAAACACCCCCCCCAGTCCCTCTTGCAGGGGGTGGCTTAAGTGCCCTTCAAAGCCAAACCTCTCCCCCAACACACACACACACACACACACACACCTCGTTCCTGACTCCCACACAAAGGCCTCTTCCCTCTGGTTTGGGTGGGAACGCGATGTACTTGGCAAGCCATCCAGCTCCACGCCCTACGGCTTTACATCTGGAGAGCCCTGTTTATGTACAAAAAGGGAGGGCGACGCCACCTTTTACCTGAACACACACACACTGGGGTGTGTGTGTGTGTGTGTTTATGTGTGGGGCAGGCAACCGGGTAGGGCTGCCAAGGAAAAGGCAGTGCCTGCTTAAGAGTCTGTTTGCTGGGATGTTAAATCAGGACATCGAGGCACAGAGGGGTCGGAACAACGGGCTGTCCAGAGTTGGCGGCATCTTTGGGGGCTCAGGGTTCCCCCCCTCCCCCAAATTCTGGAAACCGAAAAATGTTGGCAAAAAAGGAGACGCAGCTTTAGGCCAAATTTCTGCAGCCTGTTCTGGGTCGTGTCTGCTTTTACGGAACAGGCTCACGATTCTTTAAAAACTGGAGGAGATTTCAGATACTTTGAGGAATGTTTCAATTGGGGGACTCCAACTTCCAGAATTCCCCAGCCAGCAAAGCTGGCTGGGGAATTCTGGGAGTTGAAGTTCCCCCCAATCTTAAAGTTGCCAAGTTTGAGAAAGACTGCCGCAGATTAGGGGAATCACTGCAGCCCCGTTTACAAATTCGACTCACTAATCCCGGCACAAAGCCTGCGGAAAGCCTCGTATTCTGCACGATTTGGGTGGAAATTCTAAATTTATCCTCAGTCCCAAACTCGTGGCAGGAGCCCTTCTGACATCACCAAGAGTGGACCCTCTCCCGGCGGTGACCAACTCTTCCCCCTTATTTCTGGCCAATGAGAGGAAAGCAAACCGCCCCGTAGAAAGCACGTTACGGGTCGTCCTCGACGCGTTCGTTTAGTGACCAAAGTTACAAGGTCGCTGGGAAAAAAGTGACCCGTGACCGTTTTTCACAGTTACGCCCGTTGCAGCAGCAGCCGTGATCGAAATTCAGACGCTTGGCAACTGACTCGTATTTATGACGCTCACAGCGTCCCCAGGAGTCACCTGATCCTTTTGCGACCTTCTGACAAGGGGAAAAGCCAGACTCACTTTACAACGGTGTTCCTAACTTAACAGAAAGGCCAAGAAAGGCCGTAAAATGATGCAAAACCCTCTTAATAACCGTCTCGCTGAGCGACAGAAATTTTGGGCTGAGCTGTGATCGTTAAGTCGAGGATGACCTGTAGGGGAGACGGTGTCACAATTCCTGCGCATGGATCCACTCTGCGTAGCTGGCCCGAGAATCTGGGCTCGTCCCATTACGCAGATATTTTGGGAAGCCAGGCCAGCATTTGGGACAGTTGTTGCTGCACATCAACGCTGAGGGAAGTTGTAGTGCACAACTTTGGAGTTTCAACAGGTGTTGCGCGTCGAGGCCGGGGTAACTGTCGCACGCCACCAGAATCTTCTAACAAGCTTCTCTGCGGAGCAACAGATGCAACCAGCCTTGGGTGTGGGTGTGCAGAGTTTATTTTCTTCCCGGCTGCGGAATCGGCCTGAAATGCCCTCTCCAGGCAGGCGCTGATCCAACTGGGTCAGAGGGCTGGCGGGTGGAAGGCACCCCGGTTGAGTCACCCGGACTGGCTTCCCAAGGCAGAAGCGGTCCCTTTCGGAAACCCTGCAGGAAGGGGAAAGCCTGGTGGCTTCTCGGGTGGTCTTGAGGTGGGGGGCTCCCCCCATGGATGCAAATGGCCGGCAAGGCAGAGCTTCCTTGGCGCTCTTCCACGGCCTGTTCCCAGGCTGAGCCAGGGGAGGAAGCCAAGAACATACACAGCGTGTGAATCGGCAGAAGGAGCCGGAACAGAATTCCCATACAGCCAGCGAGAAACAGTTGTCCTTGCGGACGGCGCCAGGACCAGGAGATGCCAGGCCTGGCTTGGCCACTTCACCCACTGCCCTATAAAAATGAACGGAGCTGAGTTCCGATTCCTGCACTGGGGAGCCAGCAATGAGCAAGCTAGCCATGGGGTGATGGGGGTTACAGGGCCGTTTTTCCCAAACGTGGCCACTTCTAGAGGGGTGGACTTCAACTCCCAGAATTCCCCAGCCAGCATGCAAGTGACTTTGAAGACGGGTGGACTTCAACTCCCAGAATTCCCTAGTCAGCACGCTAGTGAATTTGAAGACGTGCGACCAACTCTCAGAATCCTGGGAGCTGAAGTCCACACATTAAAGCAGGGGTAGTCAACCTTGGCTCTTTTATGACTCGTGGACTTCAATTCCCAGAATGCCTGAGCCAGCTTAGCTGGCTCAGGAATTCTGGGAGTTGAAGTCCACGAGTCATAAAAGAGCCAAGGTTGACTACCCCTGCATTAAAGTGTCCAGGTTTGAGAAACAGTACTATAAATTGGGGAGGAAGTCTAAAGAAGAGCCCTGGGCCATGCTGGAAGGGGATGATGGAAACCTTAGTCCAGCTCCCCGCCCCCACAGAACAGAGAAACCATGCTATTCCTCCAGTCTATGGACCTGAGGATTTCCCCCACGCAACCTGAAATCCGGTTGCAAAGATCTCTGCTTCCACCCCATCCCTCTTTGCAAAAACTCGCTAAACCTTGGTTGACCTTCCAGCAGGCCGGAGATGCAAAAGAAAAGCAGCCAGCAAGCCAACTTATGCTTTCCCCACCCCTTCCCAAGCCCCCGCTGCTGC